CCTGGCAATTTTACACTTCTTCCCCTGTGCTTGATTCATACATCCCTTCTTGTTGCTTCCCCATTCGCACTCTAACATGTCGTCCTTTCCAGTCCTTTCACCTCAAAAGCTTTGCACACTTCTCGTGTCCCACTTTTCCTATCGTCATATCACACCTCACATGATTTGTCCCGTTTTCCTCATTCCTTGCTTTTCCTATTGCTCTTACCTAGTTTCTGCCTCTCTCTCACTCTCTCCCCCCTCTCTCGTGCTCTCTTCAATGCCCATTCTGTACATTGAATACATGCCCTGGTGCAAGAAAACAACACATCTTCCTTCACTCTCCTAACCCCGTCTATCTCCTGCTATTCGGCACACATCTCGGGAACAATGTCCGTTGCGTTGCCTTTTCCATGCAACCTTGACCTCCCTGTATCTATCTACCACATGCCCACTTATGTTCGTGTTTGCAGAGGCCTTTCTGCCAATCAGCTCACTGGCTCAATCCCTGCTGCAATTGGCAACCTCACGAACCTCCTTTTCCTGTAAATAGACACGAGCAAGAACCAAATATGAATGGGTTTGAGCCGAACCTGGTCAAACCGGCTGGTGCAACCAAACAACCACCTTGGTTCGGGTTGAACCAGCCTGAACAGCTCATGACTCAACGTTAAAGCAATCATCTTAAAACATGAAGGGGCTTGGTTCGATCTGCTGCAGCTTACCGTACCCTTCTCCCTCTGTGATTTTTCATAGATCCTTTCTTGTTGCTTCCCCAATTGCACTCTAACCTGTCGTCCTTTTCAGTCCTTTAACCTCAAAACCTTTGCATACTTTTCGTGTCCCTCTTTTCCTATCGTCATATCCCACAAGGCATGGGCATTGGCCCGACCTGACCCGACCCGACCCGTTTGGGGCTACCCGAGGGCGGGGTCGGGTCGGGTCGGGTATACCCAACCCCGGGTATTTAGGTAAAGGGTGTATACCCGACCCCGAGTATTTAGGTAAAGGGTGTATACCCGACCCCGGGTATTTAGGTAAAGGGTGTATACCCGACCCCGGGTATTTAGGTAAAGGGTGTATACCTGACCCCGAGTATTTAGGTAAAGGGTGTATACCCGACCCCGAGTATTTAGGTAAAGGGTGTATACCCGACCCCGGGTATTTAGGTAAAGGGTGTATACCCGACCCCGGGTATTTAGGTAAAGGGTGTATACCTGACCCCGAGTATTTAGGTAAAGGGTGTATACCCGACCCCGAGTATTTAGGTAAAGGGTGTATACCCGACCCCGGGTATTTAGGTAAAGGTTGTATACCCGACCCCGGGTATTTAGGTAAAGGGTGTAAACCTGACCCCGAGTATTTAGGTAAAGGGTGTATACCCGACCCCGAGTAATTAGGTAAAGGGTGTATACCCGACCCCGGGTATTTAGGTAAAGGGTGTATACCCGACCCGCCCTGTACACCTCGGCCCTCGGGTATTTAGAGCCCGAGGTCGGGTCGAATATTCCCGTTATGGATTATGTTCTGTAATTATTATGTTTATTTCTAAACCTGCTTTAGGATTACATTTGTCGGGTTTCACATACCCGACATTGGACATCCGGGTCGAGTACCGGGTAATAAAATACCGGAGCGAGTATACACTACCCCACCCGCGCGGGTAGTCACTTCGAATGTAAGAACCAGGCCCGACTAAAAAGTCGGGTCGGGTCAGGTTACCCGACCCGTCCGGGTAAAGTGCCATGATCTGTTCCGTCCCCCTCATTCCTTGCTTTTTTCTGTTGTTCCTCCCTTGTTTTTGCCTCTCTCTCACTCTCTCCCCCCTCTCTCATGCTCTCTTCCATGCCCATTCTGTACAGTGAATACATGCCCTGGTGCAAGAAAACAACACATCTCCCTTCACTCTCCTAACCCCATCTATCTCCTGCTATTTTGCACACATCTCGGGAACAATGTCCGTTGCGTTGCCTTTCATGCCCCTGTTCCAAATTTCAGAAATTCCACCTCCGAATAAAGGTGTTTGCTTTCTCTAATCTGCTGGTAGTTTTCCTGCAAAGTTGAGATCCTTGTGTCTACCTAACTCATGGCCTTCATGTTAAACCTGTGCAGATCCCTTTTTGGCAATCAGCTCACTGGCACAATTCCCACCGCAATCGGCAACCTTAGGAAGCTAATATCCCTGTAAGCCCCTTTGCTTGGCTGTGTTCCCCGTTCTGCCCCTCCCTCCAACCTTTTCCACTCCATTTGACGCCCCACTTTGAATTTTGCATTTTGCTGCACATAGCTTGGGTAGAGTTACGCACGCAACCTTAGTCTGGGTGCCTATCTAGGGTCATTCAACCCTACGTGCGGTTGGATATCCACCTTTGGCCCGAATAGACCCCCAAGGCTGGGTTTGAAAATCAATGAACTCCTAAAAACTCTTGGCTTACTGTTAATTGATATTATCTGAACCCTGCCCTAATCTTTGAACCTCAACTTATTGGGGGGGAGCAATAATGTTGAAGATCCCAACCAAACCCCTCTGTTTTCAATGAACTGCCCACGTCTAATGTAATTTATTGCCATCTCATTAGTCCTTAAACGCTGTCAATACTTTTGGCTCACACCCCTACAAGATCTAGGTTTGCTGCTACTCCCGACATTAATCTTGTGCAGAACCCTTTCTGGCAATCAGCTCACTGGCACAATTCCCACCGCAATTGGCAACCTTAGGACCCTAACATTCCTGTAAGCCCCTTTGCTTGGCTGTGTGTGTTCCCCATTCCGCCCCTCCCTTCAACCTTTTCCACTCCGATTGATGGCCCACTTTGCATTTTGCGTTTTCAGCACATAGCTTGGGTAGAGTTACGCAACCAACCTTAGTTTGGTTGCCTATCTAGGGTCAATCAACCCTATTTGTGGTTAGAAATCCTTCTTTGGCCCAGATAGATCATAGACCCCCAAGGAAAATTAATGAACTCCAAAAAACTCTTGGCTCACCTTCAATCGGGATTATCTGAACCCTGCCCTAATCCTACAACCATAACTGTATTGGTGGGGGGTAATAATGTTGTAAGATCCTTCAATTATTCTAACTCACACCCCTACAAGATCCTAAAAGAACCACGTACGTATCCCACGTGTATTCCTCTCCGGGCTTGCTTAGCCGTATTCCGTATGCCTCCAAATGCACCCACTCTGCCAGCTCTTTCCATGCTCCTTGTACCTCCCTGTGCTTCTTTTGCCGTCTGCCTAGCTCTACTGCGCCCTCTGCACCCATTGGCTTGGCACCCCTTTTGTCACAAAATGTACGAGTAAACGGAATAGAATCGTGACATGTTTCAGCGAGGTGTTCTGTTTACATGAGTCGTGTTGTTTGATTCGCGTCGACCAATTCAAATTGCGACATTTTCCCATTTCCCAGAACGTTGTGTTTCACTATCTACGGATCGTTCCTTATTGGTATGCTAAGGTCGTGCATGGATGGACTAATCACCTCACTGACTCAATCCTCCCTGCAATAAAGATCCTCACCTCGCAAGTCTGTAAAACCTGTATAAATAGGCAATGAGCATGGTCCGGTTCGGGTGGAACCTGGCTGAACCGGCTGAACAGCTCATGGTTCTATGTTCTAGTCCTCAAGATTAAATCTGAAGGGGGGCATATGATTTTTGAGAATTCTAAAAAATTATATGCGTCAAAATGGTGTCAATCGAGCCAAGTCAAAGGGCAATGCTTGGTCAGATCAGATCGGCTGACTTTTTCGATTGGTGGGTTGGAGATTTTGCCTGATCACATCTGGGTAGGGTTGGGATACTGGTGAAACATCCAACCCACAAAAACTACGAGTAGACTAACTACGATACAGAAATCACCTTTAAATGTTGTATTCTAGCTTCTTCTCCTCTCCTCTCTGCCATTTTCCTCCTCTCAATGCCAGTCCAAACCCGTGCTCACTCTCCATTGACCTCTCTTCTCCCCTATTCTCTCCTGCTATCTTTATTTTTCATCCAGCTCTTTTTGAGATTACACCTCCCTTTCTCTCTCCCCTACCCCCTGCAGCGATCTCTCTCGCAACTACCTCACAGGTCCCCTTGTAAAACTCTCGGGCATCAAAGCAGACATCTCCAACAACTACCTGTCGGGTGTGATGCGACGTTCTGAAGCCAACTGCAGCATACACAACATCGTAGCCAATTGCTTCACACAAGAAAAGGCCTGTGGTCAACTACAGCGGCCACCAGCGCAGTGTCTAGCTTTCTGTGGGATCTCTCCGACCACTGCTGCCTGTGGTGGTCGTGGCGTGTGCTACCCAGACGGGCCCAGTTTGGTTCCAACGTGCCTGTGTGGTGCACGGTCCAAGCAGTTTGGATTACTCCGCTGTGTCCCATTCACAGGAGGTGAGCAGCGATTGTAGCATGCTTTACGGAGAAGAATAAGGCACTGAGTCTAAGGACGTCGTAGTCTTGGTGCTCCTTAGTGATGCACTTTCTATTCATTTCCTCTACTTTCTAGCTCGCACAAATCTAGTTAAACCATGCTCTGCTGCACTTACCGCAGGCTAATCATACTTCTTGAGCATGCTGAATCACGGTGCCATCACCATAGACAAGGCACAGACCCCATATCTACGGAAGTCACTCCCATTGGGTTTGACCATATGATCCGGTTTGCACAACTTAACACATACACATTCCGATGCTCTCCTCCCACTCACTCCCATCCTTCCTCTGCCCCATGCACCGCTGCCCTTCCCTCGCAACTCTCCAGCCATCTCAAGGGGAATTCTCCCACCATTCACGGTTCTCACCAAGGGCACACAGCAGGAAACAGTGGGGAAGTTTGCAGGAAAGCCAGTGACCCAATTCATCTACCTGCCTGGTGTGACCTCAAGATGTGGCTTGGAGTTGGCTTTCAATGTCAACTTCACCTTCTCTCTCCTTCCCCACTCTGGTCGCGCCGGGCCCAGCGGCTTTGCGTTTGTGATTGCCGCAACGGCCAAGGCAAGGAAACCTGGTGGTGTGGGGTATAGCGGGATGGGAGCTCGGAGCATAGCCGTTACATTTGACATTGAAGAGAGCCACCAGCACGTGGGGCTGAACATGAATGGTAGGGAGGAATCCGTGGTGTCCAAGGTATCACCGTTCATGTTCACTGATGGCAATTCATACACAGCATGGGTGGATTATGAGCCTGGGGATCCGGGCACCTTTCAAGTCTTCTTGGCGAGCTCGAACGAAAAGCCAGAGGAGCCGCTGCTGCTGCAGAAGGGTGTGTCGCTGTGTGCGGTGCTGCAGCCGCGGGTGAAGCAGCAGCGGGCGGCGTTCTCGTTTGGGTTTACGGCGTCCACCACTGTAAAGCCCTTCCAGCTGCATGGCATTCTCTTCTCCTCCGTGCAAACAGGCAAGGTTATATCGGGTGGGTGATGCTGACTTTCTCAAATCCGGGCAAAATTCGAGCATGCAAGGATTTTTATACCAAACCATTTCGGGTTGAAGCGCTGGCTCATGCGTGTTGCACTATACATTAGATAATGAATATTTTGGTGTTGTTCTGTGGTGTTCTGTGATGGTGATGCCTCCTGCCATAATTATGACCGACAGAGCTAGTTAGCACGTTCTTGTCATTGGTGCTCTCCCTATCCAAGACCCAACCAGCATTCTATGGCTTCTATGCTTCTCTTTCTTCTTTTGTGTCTCCCCACAGGCGCTCCTTCACCCAAGGCTGTCCAGGTCAAAGAGCAAGGTGACATACTTCTCCCACCACGCAATCATAGCGTCTCGTGTACAGCTTATTGCAATCTCGATAGCGCTTTAGAATCTGCACATGGAAGGATTTATGAATATCCCAAGTAGCCTGTAGACGCAAGCTGAATGTGACCGACGTGACCTGCTCTTCTACGAGACAATTCCGCAGAAGTGAGATCGTAACTTGGATTATGTATATTACCGAGGTTGAGGTTATATCTCAGCATTATGTCATTCGTTTTTTTACACGTCAAACTTCCTAGACGTACCAGCTGGTGCCTTTGTGTGCAAGTGGGGCTTGCTAGGGGATTGGTTCGGTGACCATGTTGATTAAGTTCAGACCGTGCCATGCCTCTCAACCACTCCCTATCCACATCTCCTTTTATGTCCACCCCTTCCCAACCCTCACAGCCGTCGGCCTCACGTTGTCAGAGGCCACATTTGCACCATCTCGAGCCAGTCCCTTTTCGCGCTACGTGAGTGCGGACTTCAAGCTGTCGGCCACGGAAGCGGACTCGTGGAGCATTCGTGACTTCCACACATGGGACTCCGTGCCCTTCCTTGACTGGCCTGTCAAGAACCAAGGCGACTGCAGTGAGTGGAAAGAGAGTTGCGAGTTTCCGTTTCCGCTTCTGAACTGCTTTTCCACTCATTACGATGGAGCTGCTACCTTTTTAGACAGCAAAATGCACATCTCGAATATTATTACTTTTTATTATTATTATTCTTTGTCATCTAGTGCTGTATAGATTGTCGAACACCACTGTACTTCGTACCACGGCCACACAGCATCGTACAAGGCAGGCAGCATAAGCCATTGACCATGCACTGCACCTTCTCCAAGAACAGCACACAGCCTTCACCACAGCTACAGAGCAGCACATCAACATCAAAATCGGATTCCCTTGACAAGGGAATTATGAGGACGCTACAGGAGAGTCCATCCAGGCCGTGAAGAATTTGGGTTGATCATTTTAGGAGGTTTGGGATGGGAAATCTACACCAAACCAATTAAAACGAAATTCATCCTAGTCCTTCTCAGATGCCTTTTGAGGCGATTTAAAAGTCGCTTACTGCATGCTTTGCCTCTCTTGTCCTTGTCCTTCTCAGATGCCTGCTGGGCGTATGCGGTGGTGGCGAGTGTGGAGGCGGCATACGGCATTGCAAAGAATCAAAGCGCGCCCCAGCTGGCAGTGGGCTCTCTCTTCGCCCTCATGGGGCTCTCCGACTCCGACAAGTGCTCTGCTGGCGGCTCCCCCACGGAGGCCTTTGAGGCGCTCACAGCTCTCGATGCCTCCAGTGGGCTCGCAGGGGCTGAGAATCCGGTAGGGCCAACAGAATGAGGAGGTGGTATGTATGTATCTTGTGAGATGGGATGCGAGCTTATATATTCCATCTCACAAGAAAGGTAACGTTCATGGGATGTGTGTGAGCTTTGTGGAGGTTAACGTTCATGGTTGCTTGCCCATTTTGAACTAGTATCGAAATCACCTCATCCAACCAATCATGTGAGTTACTATGAATAGAGTCATCCATTCTTCACACTCGATATCTAATGCTTAAACAATGGCTGCTGATTCGTTGAGCAGGCATTTTGCATGATGTAGGGTTTGCTGTTGTGCTATTCGCCTTTTGCCTTGTCCTTTTGTGTCCATCTTTACGGGAAACCCTTCTCTAGTTTCATAAATTTGTCAAGCCTCACCTGTTAACCCCCGATCTCACCCCTACCTCAACCTCAACCTCACCACCCCAACCCCACCTTTTCCCGTCCAACAATGTCGCAAACTCTGCAGGCAGCAATCTACCCGGTGCAGGCATTTGAGCGAGCAAAGTTCAAGGGGTATGTGGGGCTCATGCTAGCAGTGCAGCGGCAGCCAGTGGTGGCTCACATCGAGGCGTCTGCAACCTTCATGCTGTATGATGGGGTGAGTCGCTGCAACTCTCACTCCATTCACATGGTGCCTGCATACTGTGCCATGTCGTCCTTGTGTTACTGGTCATTGCCTGGTGACTTTTGAGTCGACTCAAAAGTGGTCCTTGTGTTACTGGTCATCGCCTGCATGGAAGGTACTTCTATGCCATTCCACGCTGGGTTTGGATCGTATAGATAGACCAACTAACATGAATTTGCATTGCATAGCTGTATTCCCTTCCACAGATTCACACCCAACTCCCTGTACTTCTTTGAATTTCCCATTTAAGGATGTTGTGGTTATGGTCCCGATTTGTTTCAGACATTCAAGTACCAGGATCGTGGTTGCTACACGGGCAATCTCAACCACGTTGTACTCGTTATTGGCTACTTCATCACAAGAAACGATGGCAGCCAGAACCGCATTGCTCCTCCGTTTTGGATCATCCGCAACTCGTGGGGAGAGGAGTGGGGCAAGAGAGGGCACATGCGCATGGACATCCAGGGAGGGGATGGCGTGTGTGGCATCCACGTGCTGCCTGGCATCTACCCCATTGTCAAGAGTGAGGACACTGCTGAAAAGCTAAGAATTGGGGAATTCTGCCACTAGTGGTCTGTCATATCATACAGCCTGTTAAGTACATATGCACTTAGTTGCGCCTAGCTACTGTGATGCTTAGTAAAGTGGCGTGAGCTTTGTAGTCTCTTCCGCCAACCTCCATCCTCATGTTTTTCATGTGTATCCATTCCAGTTCCAGGGGACCCCTGCGGCCAGAGCAGCTACAAGGGCGATGGGGATTTGCAGCCCAGCATGAACCCGTGCGGTCGCTTCCAGTGCCAGGGGATGACTGAGACCACCAACAACTGCACCTGCAATATTCCTACCGCTCCTGTGCAGCCCTTTGTGGAGGTTGAGAATGGATACGGCTCCAACACTTGTGCTTATGGTGAGTTATGTGCAAAGTTTACATGTGAGTAGAAGGTCTCTCACTGAAGTATGCCCAGCTGGTATTGCATGCAGAAGTTCTCAATCGTACGCAGTGCGTGTGCCACACAGAGTGAGGGCGGCAAGGTGAGAAACAAGACTCTTCTCAAAATCCTTTGGTCTACATAGTACGTACTCCCACCCATGTCTGATGTGTGTTAGAGTCCCCTAGCTGCAGCGACCAGAGGTATGTTTTGCATCTGGCTGGATGGGAGTGGGCAGCCGTATACCCTTTCTTCTATGCCCATTCCCCCCATCCTTTTCATCTTGAATACCATATCTGTATCAATGCTCTGTACTATCCGCCACCCACCCCGGTACACATGTGGCAGTGGACGTGTGTGGGTCGTACTTCAAGAACCCCTGCTACGTGGGAGCATGCATCAACGATGGCAAGGGCGACTACTCTTGCATCTGCCCACCCAACCACGTCCCCAGCACAACCGTTGACGGCTTCCCCACCTGCGATCCAAGTAGGTGCCTTACTATGTGTCGTAAGGTCCCGTTTACTAATGAGTATGCCTGCTTGATCAGGCTGGCGACTTCCAATTTCCCCAATCTTGTTCCGCTTCCTTGAAATGTTTGAATACCCTCTCTTTCTCATTGCCTCTGTTGCGCTCCCCATTCTTTTCTGCAGCCAACACCATGGCCACCACAATGACAGTCAGTGGCGACAATTGGTGGTGCTCGGATGTTCATCCACTTGTTGGCCTCTCACTGTCTGACTTCACCGACCAAAACATAGTGAGTGAAGAGGTGCTGGTTCATCCACTTGTTTTGTGGGTATATGCGAGCCATCATCCGTCATCACTTTTGGTAATAAAAAATCACTCGTTATATCTCGCTTCTTTATCCAGCGAGTTCTCAATGCATTGATGGTTGGTTCCCAACTGTGTGGCCAATGTTTGGGGTATATATCCTCCTTTCACGCTCTCATCACTTACACCCCTCTCATCATGCAAAAGATACTCTTTACCCTTAACCTCTTCATTGACAGCTGAACTCCTAGAATGTTCTATTGCGTATTGAGGACTGACGAGCGTACTCTCACCAGGACCCGTAGAGGAGTAAAGGCCTTGCCCATGTGTCCTTGCCCATGTGGTCTTGCCCATAAAACCATCGAATTCACGCACCCGATAACCCCAATGCAGGGCATTGACTGCAGCCAGCCATTGCTCAAGGGCGATGTTTTGCAGCTGGATGGTACTCCTGCCACACCCTGCACTGCATTCTTTTACTCCCTCACTGTGAGAACTGCTCTGCCTGCTTTGTTCGCCACACCACATTTCACACTCAACCCACTCGCCTATTCATCTCATCACAGCGCATTATTGTCAAAACCAGTGAGCAAGCCGCAAGCATCCCTATCCCTGCCTCTCGCCAACCCTCCAGGGGGACACTTGTGCATACATCAGCAGACAACTCAACTTCACTGAACCTGATCTCACCGCACTCAACCCTGGCCTTGACTGCTCCGAGCCCATCAAGGCGGGCCGCTCCGTGTGCATCGAGCGCAGTGCTACATTCGCCTTCACCGTACCCGCGTGTGTGCGATACGGCACGCTCACTCCTCAAGACACGTGTGAGCGGCTGCTTCAGAGAGCCGGCGCTTCACAAGGGGGTGCCAGTGAGAACACATGGGCTGCGCTGTACCGCAACAATCCCGGCCTCACTTGCTCCGCCACCATCCCCTCCTCTGCCTCCGCTGTCGGCAGCAACATTGGTGTACAGGTGAGGGAGCACAGAATGGTGGACAAAGGTAAGAGTGCTTTGCATGGTTTCCGATTGACCTCGTGCCACGATTGTGCATCCCTTGTTAGTCTACTTCGGTCTCTCCGACAACCTTAGTTATTCATGCGGCTCCGTCCCATGCTTATATGATCCCAGATTTGCCTCACAGCAGAGAATTGGTCGTTCACGATGGGGTTATGCAAGAAGGGTAGGATCAAGCCTGTGCAGCCATCAATGCCATGCTCAGGTGCATACCGCTTCTACAGTGGAACTACCTCAAGAGCAATTGCACAGTTTTACAACTACAATAGTAGGTCTTGCTCTGGTATTGTAGGAGCAAGGTCTATCTGTGTGCCATCGACATTCTGAATTGATCTTTAACTAAACTTTTTACCGCATATCAGAGGCCCTAGGGGATTTATTGAGGTGCCTTCAATGGAAAACAGATATCAAAGCTGTGCCAGGGGCCATTATGCAGGAAAATCTCATATAAGGTCATGAAACATGTATATAAGTGGTTATGCAGTAAAATAGCGCAAATGTGGAGTGTTTCCATTGCAAATGGCACATTTCTTGCTTTGATTTCATGTATAATGTATAAGTTGGCCCAACTAAAGTAACGGACGTCACATTACTCATCTATATTTTTCCGGGTAGTACCGTCATAACCCGGATATAAGATAGTGTTGAATTGAGGACACGTTGTCTTTAATACGAGTGTTTTCTTATTAAGATAGTTTCTTTTATAGGAGACCATATTACCGATGAGACAAGAAATACATGTCTTATAATCGAAACATATAAAATTTATGTTGAATCATATTGTAGCATGTACGTTTTCCAGGGTCCTCGCTACCATACATTTTTGTATGTTTTTCCGAGTTTTCATACGTTTTTTTTCCAGTTAATCTGATTTGCCATAAATTGTTTTTTTTGCTTCATTTGATTGATCCGAAAGACATCTTTTATTTATCCGATTCATCAGACATGTATTTTACTTTCGTCTGAAACCGAAACTTATTACTACGGGGATTTTGAGTTGAATATGGGGTATTTATATTTTGGGTCACCTACATCGGACCTGCTGATGTCAGCAGTCACCCATTTGGCTCGATGGTGTTGACGGGAAATGGCCCTGCCCTAGCTTGGGCGAAGCAGACTTTGCAGTCGGGGGCACGCATAAGTCGATGCAGACTGCGCGCAGTGTCAGAAAGGCAAGCAGAAGTTTAGAACAAGAAAGAGGAGTTCACTAGTAAGCAGGGCAGTACATATAGCAAACCCTAATTTGGGTTGTACTCACTATAGAGTACCCCACTGCAGACTAGACAATTATAACATTCTGACACACCCCCATAGTCAAAGTGGGGTATAATCAGCACAGCAAGCAGTCATAGAGCAGGTTCACCAGTACAAGCAAAGCTAGAGGCATTCACAACGGGCACGTGAGGAGGAGGAGGATGGACTGTGAGAGGAGAGGAGATAGGAGGCGACGGCTGAAGCTGCAGAAACACGGGCAACAGGAGCGGCGCGCACGGTGGCTACCGGCGGCAGAGCCCCGGACTACAGGAGTAACTGGCTCTGCGGCTAACTCTGAGCGGCAGGAGCAACGGACCCACGGGCGACAGGCGCAGCAGGCTCTCTGGGCTACCAGCGGCAGAGCCCCGGACTACAGGTGCTGCGGACGACAAGACGGCAGCCTCCGCTCAACCTCCCCCAACTGTCCCACCCCCCTTTCACACACCCCTTGCTGCACCCCTAGCTCCACTCCCACGTCACCCCCCTAGCACCACTCCTTCGGCTCCCACACACCCACCCCCCTCAGCGGCAGCTGCAACAGTGGGAGACGGAGGAGGAGGAGGAGCAGGGGATGGCTCACACACCTGCCACCCCCATACCCGCCACCCCCATACCCTCCAACGCAGGGCAAAAACGCGGGCAGCATGTGGGGCGGCGTGTGAGCGGAAGCAGGGCGGCGCGCGGGCCCCCAGGGCGCCTCGACGAGCGACGGGAGGGGGCGACGCGCGGGCCCCCTGGGCGCCACGACGGGCGACGGGAGGGGCGACGCGCGGCCCCCCAGGGCGCCGCGACGGGCGACGGAAGGGGCGACGCGCGGCCCCCCAGGGCGCCGCGACGGGCGACGGGAGGGGGGGGCGACGCGCTGGCCCCCAGGGCGCCGCGACGGGCGACGGGAAGGGTGACGCGCGGCCCCCCAGGGCGCCGCGACGGGCGACGGGGCAGCGCGCGCGGGTTCCCGGGGGCGACTCGCAGGTCGGCGGGGAGGGACGCGCGGGTCCCCGGGGGCGGCGCGACGGTCGACGGGGATGACGCGTGGGTCCCCGGGGTGACGCGTGAGGCAGCAAACCGCCGCGCGCCTCGGGGCGCACGGCGGGCAGAAAACCGCCGCGCGCCCCGAGCGCGCGGCGGGCAGAAAACCGCCATGCGCCCCGAGCGCGTGGCGGGAAGAAAAAACGTCGCGCGCCACGGGGCGTGCGACAGACAGGAAAGCAGCGGAAGCTAACGGTGGGCCCACAGGCAAGGAGCGTAACCGCTCTGATAGCATGTCAGAAAGGCAAGCAGAAGTTTAGAACAAGAAAGAGGAGTTCACTAGTAAGCAGGGCATTACATATAGCAAACCCTAATTTGGGTTGTACTCACTATAGAGTACCCCACTGCAGACTAGACAATTATAACATTCTGACACGCAGAAGTCGATGCAGACTGCGCGCAGAAGTCGATGCAGACTGCGCGCAGAAGTCGATTTCGACTCGTCCGCAGAGTTCGACGTCGACCGGTCCGCAGAGTTCGACCTCGACCAGTCCGCAGAAGTCGGCAGAGGACGCTGGTCGACGAGCTCGCAGAGTACGCTGGTCGACGAGCTCGCAAAGGACGCTGGTTGACGAGCTCGCAGAGGACGCTGGTCGACGAGCTCGCAGATGACGCTGGTCGACAAGCCCCGTCTAGGAGCATCGGTCGACGGGCTCTACTCGACGAGCTCGTCTAGGCGAACGCAGTTCGACGGAGTAGCGTCGAACCAGCCGACCGAAGCTGCTCGACTGCGAAGGTCGCAGATGTGCGCGAACTTTGCCCCATGAGGTTTTCGCCAAGCCAACCTGTGGAACGGCATCACGTGCTCGACGGTGCACGGCTGGCGAAACCGTCGACACGTGTTCTACCTGGCACCTGCGCAATGTGCCTGGCAGCACGACCGCCTACCTGCACCTACTTGGTAGGTGCGCACATGCGCAGAAGTTCACCTGCCTCTG